CTCGCCCTCTCTCTCTCTCTCTCTCTCTCTCACTCTCTCTCTCTTTCTCACGGATGCCCCGCGGGGCATCCCAGTGCTGACCATAAGTCCACAGCGATTTCATCAGAAGAAGAAGGGGATCGTAAACTCGAGAGAAAATATTTTCCACATGTGTGGAACGTTAGTATAGTGTAGAAGAGACCGGCTAACAAGAGTAGTGCAATACGTAGACTTGCCTTCGTTGATCAGTCTTAATTCAGTCTTCGGTCGAATCAGATCGCGAAATTCAAAGTTTGCTTTCCACATTTATTGCGCTAAGTGTTGCTCTCTCTCTCTCTCTCTCTTTCTATTGTTTCCACACACTTCAATATTTTGGATCGCGGGCGATTCTGCTAGCGGAACATCATCGTTTTTCACATTTTTATACGGTCGACGCGCGAAAATATTTATAACTGTGATGATCGGAGAAATTAAATACTAAATTGTAATCGAGAATATTATTATAACTAAACTTCTCGATTATTAGTTTGAGAAATATTATTGTGTCATTCGATTTTTCACTGAAAAAAAAGAAACGTACGTAACATTATTCTTTATAGTCTTAAAATGCACTCTTGTTTCACACTTATATCCGGTTACCCTTGTTTTTTGAACGTTATCCGATCTTATTCTTTATGTCCCTTTCTTCGAAGAGTTTTCAGAATACGGCTAATATATGACTTTCATAGGTTGTTTGTTGAGCTAATATATAACTTTCATAGGTTTTTTATTGAGACATCATGCCGAGTAGTAAAACAAGAATCGCTATTATCGGTGGTGGAGCGGCTGGTTTGATAGCAGCCCGTCATATAGCCGCATTAGATACTTATAGTCTCATTCTATTTGAACAAACCGATCAGATTGGTGGCACGTGGGTGTACACCGATGAAACGAATCTCGACAAACACGGGCTTGCGATACACAGCAGCATGTACAAGAATCTCAGGTGAGCTGCCAGTAATATTGACTGAGTAAGTAGTAAATAATATTTCTAATAACGAAAAATAGATTGATAAACGTAACATTATTCATACACGGAAAGAACAATTTTGCTGAATCCAGATCTGAAAATAATTTTTGTTCAATAATCAAAATAATTTTGTGCGAAAGTCAAAGTAATTACTAGAATATCGAAACGTTTTATAACAAAATGCTTATCAGTTTTAATATTTCAAAAAATTATTTTGATGATTCAACAAAAAATTATTTTCAGATCTGTTTTTAGCAAAATTTTTAGACCTTTTAACAAAATCGTTCTTTCTGTATACGCAATGTAACTTAATACGCGAATTATAATTAAACTGTTTTCACCGCTATAAATTGTGTAGAGGGGATATAACATATATGCAGTATCGGATTTAAAGAAATGGGAATTCCTGGGTGGCTGAATCAGTAGGGGACCTGAATTTGTAGGAGATCAAAATTA